TTCACAGCTTTGCTGGTTTCTGCAATAACATAGTGAATTGATGTTATAATATCAAGCAGACCCTTCTTATAATAAAGCTCATGTGGAGATGGGGCATGGAAAATATGCTCTGTTCTGTGATTGTGCTTGATCCGATCCAAACAGCTATTTATGATTTTATTAAAGGTAAGTAATTAAGATGCTCAACATGTGTGGGATATTTATATGGCAAAAAAGTTCCACTTTCGGGCTAAATGCTAAATAATTGTCTTCACTGGCTTGTCAGGTTAAGTCTTCAATGTGTGGTTACATTCACATAAGTCTTTTCTGTCCACTGTTGGTTAATGGTTATCTGGATATCACCTCTTTATTTTTTTACATAAATACTCACCTGTTACATTTACTTTATGCCTAATACACTGTTTCAACTCATTCTATCAACAAAACAGCAGTAAATTATTAAGGTTATTTATAAAGTACCAACAAATTCCATAGCGCTGGACAATAGATGGACTAACAGACATGTAATTGCAACAAGATGAACTGGACGCACAGGAACAGATGGTGTTGAGGGCCCTGCTCAAACGAGCTTACATGTTAGAGGGAGTGGGGTATAGTGGAACAAAAGGGAAGGGTAGGATGTATTTCATGTATGTAAAAAAGTAGGTTGTTAGAATAGTTTACCATAAAGGATTAGCTTATTGGATGACAAAGTGGAAGCAGGGTGGGTTCCCAAGGTGAGGAGAAAGAAAGCTATTGACAGTTTAATTTTTATGCAGTCAATATGCACCTTAACTTTACCAACCTTTTTAATTGCCTTGAATTATAAGCTGTTGATGAAGACTGTAGAGCACAATGGTAATGATGGACACGAGTGCAGACTATATGGTAAAGCAAGCATTCTTCTTTTGATCACCATTCATGAATATGAAGGCACATGCTAGAATGACTATGGTTGCAAGATTGATTCTTCAAAATGGTATGTGACATGGTCACTTAAATAATCTCATCAATGTAAATGGTTAGTGTTAAAAGCTGAAACTTCATGAAAACTGATAGCGTCCCTTAACAGATTGCACTCCCCTTCTCTTTTGTAGCCACTCTTCCCACCTCATTAGTAAAATAACAGATTATAAATAATATATGTTTCTTGTAATATCTTTTTTATTAGACTAACAGAAAACCTCCCTTTTTCAAGTTCCAACCATTTCTCTGAAGAAAAAACAACAAGCAAAATTTAAAGCTAAATTATGATACTGGATTTAAAGCGACATAAATGCAGATACCACACAGGTCTCAGATAAAACTGACACCATTCTCACATGGGGCTCCAAATATTTCCTGTAAGGATCACCGAGTGAGGAGGGAGAAAGAGAAAAAAACAAAAAACAAGCAGTGCAGGATATACTACTAGAAGGGGGAGAGCCTACTCTCTACCCCCCCCCCAGCCCCCACCCATGAGCGGCAGATGGGGGTCCCTATTTGACAAATGTAGGGGGACCTGTTGTCTCTCCCTCGGCCTCCACCCAGGAATGGCGGGTTAGGACCCCAATTGATAAAAGGGGAAGCTAAACTGTCAAAAACTTTCTTTCTCCTCACCTTGGGAACCCACCCTGCTTCCATTGTCTCCCTTCCCCCCCAGCACCTCAGCACCCACCCATAGGTGACAAAAGTGGGGGACCTATTGCCTCCCTACACTTACGGCCCCCACCCATGAGCAATTGGTGGTGGCACTAAGTGACAAAAGGGGAGATCTATTGCCTCCCCCCTCAGCCCCCACCTATAAGCGGTGGGTCTGGGCCCTAAGTGACAACAGGAGGGGAATGTTTTGCTCATGGGTGTGGGCTGGGGGGAGGCAATAGGTCCCCCCCTTTTGTCACTTAGGGCCTACACCCACTGCTCATGGGTGAGGATGGAGGGGGACACTAAATGCCTCCCATTAATTATTTTAATAGGTTCCCCACCTTATTGGATTCAAGTGGGGGGTTCTGTGTTTTTTTAAAACAGTGAGCAGTCACATGCCCCTACTCGAAAGTCAAGGTTAGTCCCTACTTTTTCTTTTATTTAAAAAAAACGGAGCAGAACGTAAGAAAAGAACAGCTTTTGAGAGAGGAAGAAAAGAGGAAGATAATGTGGGGGGGGGAGGGGTCATTTAATACTTTTATAGTGGGACAGGATACCCAAATCAACATTTACTCTTCTATTTATGCTGTTGAAAAAAATGGTGTCCCATAGGAGTGCAGAAATATTATTCTTGGTGGTGTTTAATGGAGTGTCTCTATGTATTAATTATGCCTAGACGTGTCCATTCGTTATCGGACGAATATTATTTTGTCTGAATTTTCTGACTTTTTCGTATTCGTTTACTATAACATAAATGAAAGTCCTACATATGAATTATATACAAAACGAAAGTGCAAATGCCAAATGCATTACCCCTTTGTTTCAGTTCTTCAGGCTAATGCTATCCCTACAGCACGGAGGAGAAACAAAAGTCGCTGGTTCTCTCTGCAGCCTGAGACGGGGCACGGGAGGAGCACTATGTCCCCCCCAATTTAGTTATTTTGGTTCCCCACTATGAGGGAACGGGGGGACCTGTGGCTGATCCCCCTTATTGCACTAGTCACTGGGCAGCAATATCTATCCAGTGACTAGTAGTTTTAAATTACATGCCCCTACTTGTAGCATGCCGCGAGTAGGGGCATGTGGGTGGATTTAACCTCCCTTTTAGTGACCCCCATAGGTTTTAATGCGGGCGGGGTAGGAATTGTTAATATTTATTACAAGGAGGAAGCTGGTAGCGCTGTCTGCTCCCTCCTTGTTTTTGTTTTTTTTGCACATGCGCAGTGTTATTTTCGTACCGAATTTGGAATGGACAAATAAATTTTTTATTTAGTATGAATTCATTCATACAAAATGAAAATTTCACTGGTGCACATGTCTAATTATGCCGTGTTATTGCTGGGTGGTTTCCCTAGTGTACCATCCTAGGTTGCGTTAAGTGCATTGTATCATATATACCACATTGCTAAATGTGCAGGAGTATAATACTTTAGTGCTATAGGTTTTGTTGATGTAGGTGGCTGTTTTCTCTATGCATACAATATCTACTCTAATACCTCATTGATGATAGATAGATAGATAGATAGATAGATAGATAGATAGATAGATAGATAGATAGATAGATAACCAAAATCTAAAGTTCATAAATTATGTAATTAGGCAAGTTGTTTTCTTTCTTATTTCAGGCATGTTATTGCCACAATACAACAGAGATATTTTAGAAAAGAGAGTTATCCAGTAAATTTTGTTTTTCTCCTGCTGGTTATCAATGTTCTTGGAAGATTTTCAAACAAGAATTTGTTTAAATGGTCTATGTATGACTATTTGTTTCTGCTTTAGAAAAGGTTATGGGAGAGGACATTTAGACCAATATTATATGCAAATAGATAAACATTCTTCTTTTATTTACTGTGTTTTGCTTGGCTGGCTTTCAACAGTGATACAAATAAACTCAGCAGTATTTTTTTAATTAGGCCTGCAGGACATATTATGTAGAAGCCAGAAAGTAGGAATTCTCATAATTACTTGCTGGAACAAAGGAGCCCCCATCAGAGAGGGCATGAAGAGAAGGATTTGTACCTGGCATCCTTATACTCCCACCACAGCTAAACTAATTTAACATGAATGTAACAAGCAATCCAAGATGGAGGACATTAACTAGAAAATAATCTACAGGACGAACACCCAAAAATAATATCTACTATTTTCTTCAATCATATACTAAAAATGATGGCAATCATACTTCTTGGCATATAAACAAAATAACATCTACTTTAGAAGATATTTTGCATACAGCACAGCTTTCTGTGTAGTCAATACTACAATGTATTTGTGTCACAATAGTTTGGGTAGAACATGACCTCTTTGGTTCTTTACTGGCTACCTAGTTTGCTCCTGTTCTTCACTTAGTTTGAATTTCGTCCTATCTGTTGGTCATATGGTAAATTATTGATCCTATTTTGCTCATGCATATTAATGCATTGAATGTTCTACATTTCTGCACTAATATGGATAAAGTGTAATAAAAATTAACTTTTCTGGATTACGTTTTCTCCACTCTTTTATTGAATAGTCATTTTTGTTTGCAATTAATATGGTATGGCATTTAACTCCAATGTACAAAAAAGAAAACAAGTTTGCTCAGGAAGTAAAAAGACTATGCAGTATGTTATTGGTTCAATAAAGGTTGCACCCACAGTGAACATTCTAAAAGTACTATAAATAAATAAATAAATCTGGCATGAGTCTATTATATATATATATATTTTAAAAATCTTTGTATATATCTAGCTGAAGTCTAGTTAGTAGTCCATGTTACATAATGGGGACAGAGAAATTGGTCACCCACTGACCCAATGGATATTATTCTGTTAGGGCGCTTGAAAAAACCCTATCTTAATTATCTAATTACACACTATATGTAAGGTGGAGGAGGGGATATTCATCAGGCTCCTCATGTTTATTCTCTCTACTATCCTACTTTGACATGAAGTAGAGGAAAAGGGAAGACCATTCTGCTGTTTCAAAATAGTAAAAACAAGGTGAAATAAAAAAGGTGCTAGGTAGTTGCTGCTGATACACACTAGTGGGGTCAATCACATATGTCCCACTGGAATACAGATACGAACAACAAAAGGAAGTGTGCCGCGCAAAGAATAAATTAGATACTTTTATAGGTGTATATTACAACCCTTAATGCAGTGCAATGTACAAAAAGCAGTATAAAGTGATAGAATAATGCAAATATATATACCCTGACAGAGATGTCGGCATGGATGTTCCCAAATGAAATAAATGGGAAAAAACTCTAATAGGACAATATTGCAATATTCTCTTTTGTGAAATTAAATAATTATATGTGGTCCAACTCACATTTCGCTGAGCCTGTTATAGTGAACTGGCTCAGGTAGTATAGCTAGATTTTATATAAAATTGCAGCTTTAGATGATCCAGTGAGTCCACATGTATTCAGGGCTTAATCCTCAAAGGTAGAAAGCATAAGAAAAGCAGCACCAGTAAGGTAAAGTAGTATGCTTTCTACCTTTGAGGATTAAGCCCTGAATACATGTGGACTCACTGGATCATCTAAAGCTGCAATTTTATATAAAATCAAGCTATACTACCTGAGCCAGTTCATTATAACAGGCTTTGACATGTCTCATTAGTCTCAATAGCATGTTCTTAAATAAAAGGGATTCTCTGGCAACTTGTACTGGATTGTTTTGGCTATTCTTCTCTCAGTGTACCTCTCCTGAATTTGGCTTCGGCTTGACTGACTTGTCCTCTTTTGTCTTTTGTGCAGCCACCTCTAAGAAGTAAAATGCTTCCAATCCTATAAATTATTATAAAGGTTAGGTTTTGATTTAAGATCTTAATGGTGGGTTATCACTTCCCGCCTTGACATCGTATAACACAAGGTGCAAAGTGGTAAGGTACCTGATATCTAGGCATATTTCCTTGTTTTGTTTGTTAATTCCAAATCTTTTTTCCAAATTTAAATATTCATACTTACCTTCCAGAGTTCAATGTCAAGGCATGTTCCATATATGCATATCTACACAAAACAAAACCTTACCACCTCCCAAAAAATTAATAATAATTGTGTATTAATGAGATACTGCCATTTAAGACTACACCTTAATTTAAGGGTAATTAACTGAACATAATCAAAACAAGAATAATTAGGTGGAGTAACACAAGAAAGTGTCAAGTGTCACAAATAATTATTTCATTAAAAAAAATGTAAATCCCCACAACATCTACCATACTACAAATGATATGGTCGGTGGTTTTCCTAACATATTAACCTCATTATAAGTTGCATTTTCTGTTGAGTTTGGGGAAATCACTTGAAGCATTCATTGTGTTGAGCTATTTAATTTGCTTTTGTTTGATTTGTTCATTGCTAACAGCTGAACGTCTGTAAATATTGACAATGAAACGGATTTTCAATGAAGGTTTAATAATTTTGATTACAACTGTATATATGCAAATATTTCCATATTTATATTATATAATGTATATCATTAATATATGTATTCTCATTCCTATAATATTTACACATGTATTAATATATATGTGTATATTATTATTATTATTTTTATTATTATTATTATTATTGACATTTATATAGCACCAACAGATTCCATAGTGCTTTACTATATTATGAGAGGGGGGATTTGACTATTAATAGGACAATTACAAGAAAAATTACAGAAGCGATAGGTTGAAGAAGACCCTGCTCAAACGAGCTTACAGTTTATAGGAGGTGGGTTATAAAACACATTAGGACAGGAAATAGCAATTAAATAAGGTGGGAGTGAAGCAGAGCTGGAGGAGAGAGTAAAGTGCTGCCCTTTGGGAGAGAGCAAGAGCCAGGTATGTGAGGTAGAGGTTACACTGGGAGGCCATAAGCTTTTCTAAAGAGATTGGTTTTAAGGCACTTCTTAAATGATTGAAGACTAGGGGAGAGTCTAATGGCGGTAGGCAGGCTATTCCATAGGAAGGGATCCACCCACGAGAAGTCCTGCAAGTGTGAGCTGACCATCGGACAGGAGAAGGTCACAGGCAGAGGAGGGGCATACCTATGGATCTTTGAAGAGATATAAGAGGGGCTTGACTTGTTCAGTGCTTTATAGGTATGTGTTAACACTTTGAATTGACTCCTATATGATACAGGAAGTCAATATAAGGACTGACAGAGGGGTGAGGTGTGAGAGGAATGACTAGAGAGAAAAATCAATCTGGCAGCAGAATTCATTACAGACTGTAGAGGGGCAATATGGCTTTTGGGAAGACCAATTAGGAGAAGGTTACAATAATCCATGCAGGAAATTACTAGAGCATGGACAAGCTCCTTGGTAGCATCTTGCATAAGAAAGGGGAGGCTGCGGGCTATGTTTTTAAGATGGAATCTACAGAATTTGGCAACATACTGGATTTGAGGCTCAAAGGTGTGCTTGCAAGGATGGACTTATGTGGATACCACTAACTTGAAGGGAGATTGAAAGAGGATGGTCAGTATTAGGAGGAGGAACAACAAGGTTGTTGTCATTTTTAGAAAGATTGAGTGCATAACATGCCCCAAATCACATTATTTCATAACATCTATTTAATGAAGGCTTAGCAATTTTTACATGGTGGGAAATATTGGATGAGATGGTGGCCAGGGAGTGGCACTGTGAAGAATTTTCACACCAAGTGCCTAAAGGCCTCGAACCTTGCATCTGATGGCTCCAATGTTTCCCTTGCTTGGGTGCTAAATTGGCTCCACAAATACATTACTCATCAGCAAATTTTATGATGAGGTACATTCTCTGTTTTTTTTAATTGGAGTCAATGTTAAGTAAAAAATGAAACAGTTAATGTTTCAGTTAATTCTGTAGACTTTCAAGGACTTTTATCACAATGCTTCATTTATGTTAATTGTAGTATGTGAATTTTTTGATACAAAGAATTCTCAAGTTAAACTATATTGTGCTTTGCATTTATAATTAAGTTATTTCATGTTTTTGGCAAGTAAATCCATTCAATGTGTAATATTGACTGTGAAAATATTTGAACTTGTAATTTTGTGTAGGAAGACAGCATACGTTCACTTTTTTTATAGCAAATTCTTAGAATTTTTGCTAATTCTTTTTGGAATAGTTCTCCAAAGTAATGGCAAACATATAACCAAATGAACTTTAAAGTTTATTAAACTTAACGAATGCCAGTTTCTGGCAACATGGAAAAAGACATTTGTTACCCCAAAGGGTTTCTGTTTTTCAGTTGGCTCCAGGATCAACACACATTTATATATACGTTTGCAAACTCCAGTCTCAATACACATTTTTGTGTCTTTTGCTGCTCGTCTTAAAAATTTGATTTTCTTCATTAGTTTGAGCATTAGGATCATTACTTACATGTTACTTTTTTTGTCTGTCTTAATGTACAGTTGTAATCAAAACTATTCAATCCCCTTTGGAAATCAAGTTTATTGTCAACATTTACAGACTTTCAGCTATTTTCAAGAAACAAATCAAAGAAAAGAAATTGAAATACTTCAACACAACATGTGCTTCAAGTAGTTTCCCTGAATTCAACTGAAAATGCAATTATTAATGACTTCTCCAGTCTCAAAATTATTCAACTCCCTAAATAGGATCCCTCTCAACAGCACAAATATGCCAAACAGGTGTTGTTTCAAGCCCACCTGATGCAACTAATCAAGGGCTTCATAAGTTTCACCAGGTGTGCTTGAGCTGGAACACTTGAAATACCTAAATTGGCTAGAGGTCTGTTGAGTGTCAAATTTGACTGCATGTTAGAAATATAATTCAAAAGAATGGTTCATGAAGTTAAGAGACAAGGTCATTACCCTTCGCAAACAAGGAACAGGATAAAAAAAGATAGCGAAGGTACTGAATGTTCTTAGAGACACCGATAAAAGCATAGTTTGCAAGTTCCAAGTTGAAGGAACAGTGGTTAGACTATCTGGACTATCTGGAGCTGCAACCAGATTTATGAGAAGGCAGGCTGTGAAAAATGCTCAAGTGACTGCAAAAAATCTGCTTCAAGACAGGCACAGAGGTTTCAGTGAGCACAGTAAGGCGCACAGTAAGGCGCATACTAAACACAGAAGATTTCCATACCAGAACTCCAAGACGTACTTTATTACTGACCCAAAAACACAAGAAAGGTCAGCACAATATGCTCAAAAGCATATAAATAAGCCACAGAAGTTTTGGGATTCTCTTCTGTGGAGCGATGAAACAAAACTAGAACTGTTTTGGCCTAATGGATCAGCAGTATGTCTGGAGGAAAGAGAATTAAGCTAATGCTGAAAAGAACACTCTGCCTACAGTCAAGCATGGTGGTAGCTCAGTGATGCTCTGGCACTGCTTTGCATCCTCTGGCACTGGAAACCTGCAATGTGTGAAAGGCAAAATGGATTCATTGACGTATCAGGAAATCCTAGGAGAAAAAAACAAGATTACCTTTTACAATGTCATGCTTTGAGTTTATTCCAATTATATCTGTACAAGTATAGTCTGTTTCACCAAATCTCTTCTAGCTATCCTAAAAGAAGCTAGTTTATTCAAACTAAATGCGTTTAGTTTGACTAAACAGTCAGAAAAACACAGTGAACACAGAACACAACAATTCTAGTTCATATTATTAGCAGCACAATAATACTGTAAGATTTGCCAGACCTCTAGGTATAGTCACCAAAAGTTTCACATAACAAAAAAAACGAATACATAACTTGTAACTCTCCAGGAATCTGGTCCTGGTCAATGCAGTGACTGTTTCTAAACACATACTTGTCTAGTTATAACATTTAATAATTTATTATTTATTTAAAGAATAAACATCACATTTAAAGATCACGGATGCCATCATCAAAAATGATAAAAAATGGGGGTGGAGCCTGCGCTTGAGCTGCATGGACGCGTAGGGACGGAGCTCCCCGGATAACGGCTACCAAAGCGTTGATTACAGAAACCTAACAGCAAGGAATCGCACTAAAAACTGACATGGCACAGGAGCAAGAAAAACGGCGGACGCCAAGGAGAAACACTCCTTTTTGGCGCGAAACCAGCGGGCCAGAAAGCACCATCACAGTTGCAACAAGATGGCGACGGTAGTGGAGAAGACAGAGACCTGTCTAGGCCGCACTCCCCGCAAGACACTCTCCAAATTCAAGGAGAGCAATTCCAGAAAATGCCAGATGATATGGCAGTTAAAATACAAGCCACAGTACAATCAGCTATAGCAGAGCTCAGACAAGACATTCTGGATCTCAGCATCCGCACAGCTCACATAGAAAATGAGATGGCCGACTACTGCAGCACACAACAGCATGGCACAACGAGTAGAGGAATTGGAGGATCGGTTAGGAAAACAAGAGCTGAAATGCATAGATTTGGAAGACAGATCCTGGTGCCAGAACTTAAGGGTCAGAGGGATTTCTGAAGACATCCAAGCGGCAGACCTTGTGGCTTACCTGTAGGGCTTATTTCAAGCTTTTGGCCCTGATATCCCTCCCAACATGATGCTCCTGGACAGGGCACACAGGGTGGCGAAAGCA